GTATATATATAATATATATTCTTGGAGTTATTGTTTTAATTAGATTCAAACGAAAGCTTTATCCAAGAGTATTTCTTTGAATGGCCAGATGGCATTACCGGGCAACGTTATATCTGAATATAAACGTCTTCTTCTTATTCTCGGTCACTACACTACACTCGACCTAGCCCCTGCAGCACACAGCACCTGGCACGATGATTGAAAGTCACAGATTTTCAACCAACGGAGCCACACATGCATACCTTGGCAACGGACTCCCGAAGACGCCTTCCTGACATGGTTGTAAACTCTCCAGGACTGCCGTCAGAAACAAACTGGCCAATGCGCAACATCTGTATCTCTACTATAGACGGTTGCCACGCGTAGGGGAAGGATATCTGTGCACGAAATTTCATGTAAGCTAATAATAATAATGTATGACTAACAATAGCTATGTTAAACTAAGATGAGTAATGTTTGCACTCGAACCATATGATATGGATTAGCGGAAAGGCAGTATATGGTGCAGTTATTGATATATAAGTAAATCGACCTATTGTATAAATTATATATATATATTTATGCATGAATTTAAAGAAGGTTAGTATACGTGTACGTGTGCGTGTACGTAAGCGCGTACGTGGGTCTATCGTATAGCCTAGATTTTATTAATTTGAGCCCTAATTTTTATCTAGCGTCTCACCTCTCCGGTCGCAAGCAGAACAGGCTTTGGGGCCTGGCATGCTTTTAGCTGCTCACTAGGGGGCGCAATTGCGTCCACGATGCTTGACCAAAACTCGTTTTCTTCCGTCGTACCTGAAACGTGATCTTGCATTCATATCCTATGTACGTGTAGGTGGCGCTGTAATTTGTAATGTGTTACATCTTTGAACTCCACTCGTGCCGAAATAATAACTTTGTCACGATTTTAATCGTCCGCCAATTTGACGAAAACCGGTTAGGTCGATGAACGATATAATATAGATTATGATTTTTTTTCAGAGCAGTTTTTTTTTCAAGAAACCTTGCGTGAAGTTGAAGCTTCCTGGTCCGTCAGTCGTACCAGCCGCAAAACTGTATCCCATAGCCGGAGCGCACGTTCTTGCCTGCATAACGACAGCCAGTATGAGATCTGTCAACGTCTGTACACCACCGCGACCACGTAACCGGACCCACACATAACTATATCGTGACAACTAGCGCGCTACCTTGCGTAAAGTTAAAAGCGCCGGCACCGTCAGTACATCCCGCAGCGAAGCTGTAACCCATAGCCGGAGCGCAAGTTCTAACCTAGCAAACATGTGGTTAACAAACATAGATTACCTTCATGGAAAACAACAACAACAACAACACGATGCACGTTCATACACGAGTTAGGTACGCGCATGAGGTCGGTATCTTAGACCGAATACACGTGTAGCAGGTGTAGCGCTATTCGTCATAGCAAGAGCTCTTCTATTGCATGAACGAGGAAATGTTGAACTAATTATTAATTGTATAAGTACGTATCGTACAGAGGGTATTGGTATTAGTCGTATTGTATGCTTTGTATAAGTATTGTATAGCAATATTGTATAAGTATTGTATAGAAATATTGTAGAAGTCTTGTATAGCAATATTGTAGAAGTATATTGTATAAGTAACGTCCTGCCCGTGGGCGAAATTTTTTTTCCCACTTGAGTTCCGGACCCACCATAGATAGTGTTTTGTAATATATGGTTCGTATATATATGGTTGGATTATAGTTATTGTTAGGGTTCGGGTACGGGTTAGGGTTAGGGTTAGGGTTACGGTTAGGTTTAGGGTTAGTGATAGGTGGTATTCATTTTACATTGTTGCTTCGAGGAAGTCGAGTGAATGGAGTGCGCTGGTTGGCTGTGGTCCGGAACTCAAGTGGGAAAAAAAATTTCGCTGCCCGTGGCGCTAATCATAATTTAGGCAATACCTATTTTAGTTAACTGACTTATTTAGGGGCGTTTCGATTCGCCGCTACTTGACGTATACACACCTTTTTAGCGAGGTTGAGAACGTGGTTAGTTCGACATCTCGAACGATTATTACTAGCAGTGCGATCACACGACAAGAGAGACAGTTTATGGCAGGAATCTCGTTAGGTGAACACCTCGCATGACGAGCCAAACCAACGAGTGCTCCCCTTAATTATAAGCTACGAAGCATAATTTCAGTTGACAAACCACCGACCGCGACTGCTTCCCGTTCTCAATTATAAGCTACGAAGCATAATTTCAGTTGACCAACCACCGACCGCGACTGCTTCCCGTTCTCAATTATAAGCTACGAAGCATAATTTCAAGTTGACACAACCAAACCTCGCCTTGCTCCCCTCCGCCCTGCGCTCGCTTCGCGCCCCGAGCAGGACCCCGGGCGTGGTACAGCCGGGGGGGTCCAAGGAGTCCCGGACCCCCCCTTGCTCGGCCAGCGAAACACGCATCTGAGAGGGCGGCTTTTCACCCTTTAAAAAAAACAAAAAATCGGCCGGCGCGGGAGGCCCCCCAGACCCCCTTCGCCGTGCTCGGCAACTTTGGCGTTTACCGGTTATCCGACCGCGGCACGCCCATGTACCACAATCGTGTACACGCCCCGTGCCCGAGGCAACCATTGCGCAACGAGTTGAAAGACGAACCCCCCCCGCCCCCAGTCACTCAATAAAGCTGGCCATACCGGCTGTATGCCGCGACTCGTCAAATTGTTTCGCGCCGCCATACTGCTCATCACCTACTCGCTTACCGCGGCTTTTACCTGTTTTCTGTATATCTTCTACTCTTTACTCTGTTCTACTCTTTTTGATTCCTGCCCAAATTAACGCAAATATTTACAATGCCCCCCGCCCATTTACTGTCAGCATTCTACATACACAATTAAAGGAACAGTAAAGCCCTCCTAGAGATCTTTCACCTTCGGCATCACAACTGTACTTTACTGTATGACACGAAACCTGTCTATCACCCACACCGTATTTGTTAGCCAGATCACCCCACTAACTTTGTAACATCGTGTGTATAGACTATTAATTAACCGCACTTTATCAGCCCGTTCTCGAGTATTAAGCTAACGAAATTTGAAGCACAGGCGTGAGCATTAATCAAGTGTTGAGAACGCAACCGGACGACCGCCCGACTGCTTCCCGTTCTCAATTATAAGCTACGAAGCATAATTTCTAGTTGACCAAACGCACGGACCGACCCGCGAGTGACTTCCCGTTCTCGTATTAGTAGACTTCTAACGCAAGGCGTGATTTCAGTTAAGTTTGACTCTAACCATTTCTCCGGGAGAGACCTCCACCTCGACGTTGCTCATGTTGACGAATTGATGACGGAAATCGATGGACGCAGGCGTCCAGCTGTCGTCGTCGGCCCTGTGGGTTTAAGTGGGGTAACTGCCTGGTGTTCCATACTCCTCGCCTTCCGATACTGATTGTCGCACCCGATTATTCGAGTACTGTCTCGATCATGTCTACCACCGGGTCCAGAGCGCGACGCAGTTGCTGTCCATCCTGTGGACAGAAAATATTGGATTATGCTGCGCGTAAAGTATTAGAACCAAATTAAATAATTATTGATACAATCAGTTTCACAGGGAGTATATGCTAAATGATGGGAGTAGTGCTAAATGATACACATAAGGATGAGCAATTAGTATGTTATACCTCATATAAATATACTATTTAACTGACGTAACTGAGATATTCATTTAGGGACAAATTTTATTTATACTCAATATTATAACATAAGTGAACACACACGTGTTCTTTGATAAGATTATATTAATCAAATCTATTATCAGGTTCATTGTGTGCACCTCTTGTGCAAATATATTAAATAAAGTGAAACACTGATATGCTAAGTAAGTCGCGATCTAGTTGATAGACGCTATTGAGATACATAGTTTGAGCAGCAGACTTATCAGGCTAATAGTTACTAAGCGCCTAAAGCTGCAATATTCGTAGCATTAGTGGCCCGATGACGAAGGTGTTTGAGCTCAGCCAAACTTGTCGTACCCTAAGCAGTATAAATTGTTCGTGACGGCAGAAAAACAATTTGTTGCAATAAATTTTGCCAAAACTTTAGCACCACACAATAGTCGCCTCCTGCCAATTGTCGTGCGCACACTTTTGGTGGCGCACTAGCTCTTGTGCGTTGCAATCAAATCTGGTCAGTCGTTAGTGTTCTTCGAAAACATTAAAGATAAAAAATTTTCTTAAGTTTGGTCATCTCAACCTACGCCAGGGAGAAAAATTTTTTGTGCACTGTAGGCGATATTTATAACTAATTAGGCAAAACTATGAAAATAACATCCTAAACCTCTCGTTCAGAGAGGTCACGGTAAAGCCTTCCGTGCTCCTCAAATATTTGTTCGTGACACAGTCTCACTCTGAGACCATGATTCTCATAATTTTTATATATTTAAGTTTTAAATAGGCGATTAAAGGGATAGAGTTTATAGGAGTTCAGGGTTATTAACAAAGAGTGAGTTGCAGCATGATGATAAAGTATGATCAGTTGATAGATGATGATTGGACATCCGCATGAGATAAAGATTTAAATAATGAATAAGACATAGATCGAAGATTTGTAAAGCGCACCAGTGATGGTTGGGAGACTCGAGGTTGCGTATGAGACCATCGGCGTCCATACATAGACATAGCATCACATACAATAATCACAATACATGGCTACATGTATATCCACGTAACGACACGCACGCACGCAAGCAGACTCACGCAACGGCAACCAGCGCACGCCACGCACCACGCACGGCACGCACACACACACATCGTTTCACCGGTCATAGCCGCGCGTGCATATTTGCTACTTAATTAGACTAATCGCGCTTCAATAGACTCAAAATTCACAGAGATTAAGGCTAAGACATGTGTCTATAATAGCTAGAATTTATAGAAATGTAACGCAAATCGTTCGCTCCATATGATAGTTAGTACACGTTCCTACCGGTCATAGCATAGCGTATGCGGCGGGAGTGGGCGGGGTTTATTTTTATCCTCCAATCACAGGTCGGAGCAATTCCTCTGTTTAGACGCATGTATCACACCCCACCACACACACCCATACCACACACACCCACGTACCACGTGCGCGCGCACACACACACACACACACACACACACACACTCATGGCTTTGAACAGGATCGTATAATGTGCTTCGATGGCTGGCGACAATTTGTGGTGTCAGCTCCCTCACAAATTGTCGTCGGCGCCGACGACAATTTGTGAGGGAGGCGACAATTTGTGGTGTGAGGCTTTGCAAAATTTTGCACAAATTGTCGCCGACGACAATTTGTGCAGGGATGACAATTTGTGGTGCAACAAGAGGGTTAATCACGTGATAACCAGGACCAACGTGTGATGTATGAAGAAAATAAACGACGGATGAATAAAAAAGCTCTAATTTAACTAAGTGTCGCAAAGTTATACGCCACTAAGCGTGAAATAGACGATTGAACGTATTGACGGCGAGGACTGTATTTTTAATTGTTTTTCAAGTTTTAACATACAACCACTTAAATATAGAAAGCGTAAAGTTAATTGCGGCGTACCGCCAGAGATACAGTCGATTCTGTATAGCTCTGCTGGCACGCAATTAACCATGCTTGTTTGCGTTTCTACTTTACGTAAACGCGGGAATTTTTTGCGGAAGTAAGCACGCATGAATGAATAGCGTTTTCTTTCCGCACGCCCTCTACCTTTCCGTTGCAGGTGCTAGTCAGCAGGTCGCATAGTTCGCCGGTATCAAGGCAGCGCGGGCCAGCCGTGTTCGGTGATACGTCGCCAAGGTTACTCGACGCAAACGCCGCAGTGAACTTTCCCTGTGAGCATGCAATGACCATGATTGATAGCTGAGCGTGGCTCGTGGCTACGGTTGTTGTTAGGTTGTTGTTGTTGTTGTTGTTGTTGTTGTTGTTGCTGTTGTTGTTGTTGCTGTTGCTGTTGTTGTTGTTGTTGTTGTTGTTGTTGTTGTTGTTGTTGTTGTTGTTGTTGTTGTTGTTGTTGTTGTTGTTGTTGTTGTTGCTGTTGTTGTTGTTGTTATTGTTGTTGTTGTTGTTTTTCTCTTTCTTCGTTTTTCTTCTTCCTTCTTCCATTCGAAGGCATTATAGTGTCTGACATTATGCTCTCTGTTTATATAAAGGTACTTACTTTCCCTGGCATTTTACCAGGATTCATTTTTTGTTCAAAGAGGTAGGAAGCGTAACCCTTGTTGTCGCCACTGATCAGGTGATTCGAATTGTTCATGCTGGTTGGATGAACTGCAAACCATCTGAAAAACGTGCGTTTTTCCAGTGTAAACGAGGATATACAAACGTCCTTTGACATTTTTCCTGATTTGACTATTATTGATTAGCCGTTTGATTAGCCGTCTTATCATGATATTATATTATGATTATCAAGTCCTAGCGTTGTGTCACAAATATACTGTATACGTAATTGTTTCAGACATGGTTCTCCGTTTTCTAAAATTTTTAGTATCATTCGACCTGTTTGGTGGTATACATATTTGTTGATATACAATAATTATACACACGTAATTATTCCAATTGGGTCGTCAGCGCCATCCACCATCTTAAGTATCCACATGGTCTTGTCCACATCATAATTATATCTGAAATCGATAAATCGCCATGAAAATTCCTAGATCGAATATATAAGATGAGATATCAAGAGCGTCAAATTTATCACACACATTATATATATATCTTTATATACACGTGTAGGGGGCCTATATATAGTTATTATAAACTATAAGCTGTGAATCTCACCTGGCGCGTTCTGACTTTGGATTCAGTACGTAAGAGGTGGGGCTTCGGTTGATGTTACTTAGGAGCAGTTCGCCTTCGTTATAGTATATGCTTCCCGGACGCAAATCGTGATGCGCCAAGCGAATACTCTTTAAGAACACAACACACGATACTCGTCACGTGAACACCATATATAGTATACCAATTGATGTATAGTTTTGCTAATCTCCAAAAATTTTGAACGAAAAAACATAGTGAACCTGACTAATAGGTCCCACGAAGCGTGATGCGCTAATTACACGGAGGTTTCTTCACAATGCACTCTCGTATATGCTAGATTCTTTCCCGTGCTAACTCCAGGCGACCTTACGTTGACATTTACTTTATGTTTACATTGACATTACGTTGGCATCGACATTACGTTGACACTGATGTCACGTTGAATTTGATCTCACGTTGACATTCCATTGACATTGCGTTGACATTACCCTTACCTTGCCGCTGATCTTACCAGGAATGAATAATAGAGAAAAATAGAATAATTGGAGGGAATAATAGAATCTCTATTATTCACTCCTAATCTTACGTTAACACTGACCTTGTGTTGACATTGACCTTATACGTTGACATTGATCTTGTCTCGGCGTTGGACCTACCTCGACTATTCCGTCGACGATAATGTCGAAGCTGTCCCGGATGAATCCGATGGTAGAGATGCCGTACATCGCATACTGCAGGTATCCACCTGGTCCCGAGTGCGTGTGGGTCCCACTGATCACGACGTTATCTTTCGTGTACATATCTGCTCCGAACAACGTCTTTAATTTGCTGAAAACCTTAATTGAAATATACGTGAGAAATATAATAGCAATGAGAAAACGAACATCTTGATTGGCGGCGTGCTGGTACTGCCGTACGTAGCGCAATCTGCGGTTTAAGTGGCTAGCTATAATCGATAATGACATGAGAATGTAGACCTAAAGCTTAATTAGAGTGGTGAATTTGGCACCCGAAGTAATCATTGCGATAATGAGAAATGACGTTAAAATTTGTTAGTCAATCAGTTATATTTTTTACTAGTTTAATAGATAGTCACGTGGGCTAACAAATTGTCAGTATGCCATATATATATATAGCTTACCTTTATATAACAAGGGGACGATAGCAGTCGAAATGTCTATGCTTACGTTTCACATATCGTAACATATAGGTATGTTTCGCATATAAGATGTTTGATTACCTTCATAGTGACAAGCTGGGAAGCCATTCCCATGTCGCAGCTCACGAATACCGTGCGTCTATTTATATTCCTCATTTCGGCTACCACATAAGCTCTTGCAAACAGCCTTAAGTGAATTCCTCCAGTCAGTTGACCCGGCTTGGCATATCCCATCTGCATAGGAGAAAAAAAGTGGGGGTAAAACACCAATCAGTTCGCTGGCGAATGTTATGTCATCTATGTTTTATGCTAGGACGCACGTAATCTTGTGACGTTATGTTACAATATCGCGTCATTGTGTCATTATGCTGTATAATTGCATGTTATCTTATAATGTTAGGACGTACACTATATAAGTATATACACTGTGAAGAGTTTGCGCCAGTGCCACCGTTGCACTTTCCATTTGAGTAACAAACTCCATTCGTTACACCCATCGTTTGTCTAGAGACTTTATCGGTGATTAAACAAAAAAGCGCAGTCCCTTTGCAAACAGTATATCGTTCGTTCGACACACGGTACGGAGGACCTCGTGGCGCTACGGGGAGGGGGGATCATACAGCTATGAGGTAGCACAATGGAAGTGGTTGCTAGGGCGACGAGATCGAATGCATCGAATGCATCATGCATGGAAGAGAGCTACGCGGCGATATGTTGTCTGTACACACAGCCCGATCGCGACCAGGAAACGAATTCGCTCTTTATTTCGCTCATTCTCGCTTCTTAGTTTTCCTCTCGCGCTGCGTTCCGCTGGCTATCTCATAACTAATCAAACCATCTGCAGTTAAATACCTATAGATTAGACTAAGCAAAATATGATTATAGAAATGGGCTCCGTGGTGTATGATTGTAAGATCACACTGGACACACGCAAGAATGAATGTAACCGACATAAAATCGATCAAAGCTAGGTAAATATTTAACTCTTAAAAACATGGAACTAATTTTCAATCAGTATGACTACCCCGAAGTAGAAGCTAATCCCGCATTTATGCAATCGCAACGTAAGAGTTCTCGATAGCGCCTTATCCACTTTTAACTCATTGAGCTGCATTAATATACAGAGCTCGTACAACGCTCACCATAGACATCACATAATACGTACGACGTGGTATCAAGAGCTAATAATAGATTGTATTATTGTACATTGTATATTGTATATTGTATATTGTATATTGTATATTGTATATTGTATATTGTATATTGTATATTGTATATTGTATATTGTACATTGTATATTGTATAATATATAACATATAATAAACATAATATATATATCATATAATGCATGTATGATTAGCTCTTGGTGGCATCTACATGGCGCTCACAATTCGGCGAACCTCGGCGTCATCGATCTTACCATCGGTATCCCTCCGGCGGGTCCTGTGATGTCATAGATCCCCGTGCCGATGTAGTAATTAGGATCTTCTGCCGCACTCAGGCCGGCGACTGCCGCTAGTAACAGCAACACGAACGCGACCATGTTGCTCCTCGCTAGTGTGCGTAATGTTTGTGAGAGATCTTACACAGTGATGAGACACGATGACGGCGCTATCTCGTACGTAAGCTCATAGTTCGTGATGGAGCGCGCGCTATATATATAAAGATATAAATGTCAGCTGTCGATTATTCGTCCGGGCTAGCGCACTTTACCATGAGATCGTATGTTATACTGACCCGAGTGGACGCCGTGTACAGAAGTCTCTTGCTTATTTACTTATTAGATACGCACGACCGATATGGTATACGTGATCGATGATATGATGCACTCAAGCCACGAATAGTTTTTAGGCGTAAATACTGTCGGCTAATATTAGCATCAACTGCTATATACGGTCAATAATGAAATCAGCCTAGATGTCATAGCGTGAAAAAACAAACACTAGAACTCCATATTGATGCAGAGACAACATTACAATACTACAAAAAAATTCAAAAAAATTATATCGTGTAACAGAGAATAATATTACCATACTTTGTCTCAGTTGGCACATTAAAGATACACCGTTTCACCTCATTATTGTCTCATATACCTCATTATAGTCCAGATAATTCTGGTAACTAACAATACACGTTAAACAATACAGTGTGTATTGTTGAACACCTTCTAACAATACACTGTGTATTGTAGTAGGTACCTAACCACTGTGTATTTAAATTCAATTTCATTTTCAATAAATTCAATAAAATAATTTCAATAAATTTATTTAAATAAATGTCAATTTCAAGTTTACAAATCAAAAAGTAAACTAATTAAAAAAAGAAGAAAAAAAAGTGTATTTTTAGAAGGTGTTCAACAATAAACAGTGTATTGTTGAAAGCTCATAGGTACCTACTACAATACACAGAGTATTGTTAGAAGATGTTCAACAATACACAGTATATTGTTGAAAGCTCGCTAACAATACACAGTGTATTGTCAAATGCCTAAACATACAACAGACTGTGTATTGTTAGTTACTAAAATTATCTGCATAGTCTGTATATAGTCGGTCAGCTCGCGCTTTAATTTATCCTTAACTGCGGATATTGCTCTATTGCGCTCCATAATATATGCTGGTTAGAGGTATATATCTAGGTCTTCATGTACCGCATATGCAGATGTAATAGTTTGACAACTGCGTGCGACATTCCTTCTTTGCAGTGATGGCATTTCCGCGTGAGTGCCCTGTTTCGAACGCCCACTTGTAAAATCGATTTTCAAAACTTCTGGTTCTACTCCCTCTCTCTCTAAGTCCAAATTACAAGTATCTCTCGATGATGAAAACCTCAATCACTTACAGCAATATCCGCTCTCTGCGCTCAAAAGCACATTCCCTCGCAAGGCTGTCACTCCTCACAAGGTGGCTGGTTCCATTCTTCATCACTTCGCTCATGAGCTCGGGCCTGCTTTGCACAACCTATCTTCTCAAGCGTGTGACCTTCGTTCTCTTTTATTTGACTGGAAACAGGGTTTCATTACCACCCTAGTGTGCAAAGGTGGTGGCTTTTCCCTTCCTTCTCTCCCCTAACTATCAGACAATACTTCGTCTTCTATCAGACATATTTTTTCTGTAAGGCTTTCGTGCATATGATCTATTCCTCTTTAATGCATCACTTTGACTTACACGACATTCTATCCCATCATCAGCATAGCTTCTGACACGGTTCCTATACCTGTTACTCAGGGGGACAGTGGGCCTCAACTTGGGAAATTGACCTTAATCCTGAAAAATGTAAGATTCTACGCATTACACGGTCTAGATCACTCTTCACTTTTATCTGTTCTTTTTATCTTAAGTACCTATAGCTTACTGCGATGTACAAACCTTCGCTAAAATGCCCATATAGATTACATTTGTCAAAAAAGGCCACTTGCTTATTTGGCATACTACGTAGTACGTACGCCTCATGTGCTGGTACTAAAACCAGAGCACTGGTTGCTAAAACCACGTCCTTCCTATTCTAGAATATGCCTCACCCGAATGGATTCAGCATACCCTACAAAACTGCACGAGATTGAAATCTATTGAGCACAGAGCCGCAAGAATAGTCACAAAATAGTGCCAGTTATAAAAAATATTCTCACGGAACTCGATGGTCCACCTCTTCCTGTGTGTTTCTCTATACCAACCACCCAAGCTTCCACAATATTAATTACCACTGCCACGGCAAAATTGGTATCCAATCTTGCTTGATGAAATCTTCTTGGAATACTCGTTTATCTCCTGACCATTGTTACCACTATATGTCTCATGCTAAAAATACCCATTCAAATATAGTTTCTTTGTTTCGGTAATTCTTTACTGGATTCTCTCTCTTTCTCTCTCTCTCTCTCTCTCTCTCTCTCTCTCTCTCTCTCTCTCTCTCTCTCTCTCTCTCTCGCTCTTTCTCTCTCTCTCTCTGTCTCTCTCTCGCTCTTTCTCTCTCTCTCTCGCTCTCTCGCGCTCTCTCTCTCTCTCTCATCGCATGTGCGCAGTCTCAATCTACCGATCTGATTGACGTCGATTTACGTCCTCATTACAGACAAATTAAAGTCCAATTGAGAAGTTGCCACTACGAGATGAGATTACGAGATTACGAACACAATGTCATTCCGTTATGCGTGATCTCTAGGCAGCTCTTTTTCCTTTTTCTTTTCTTTTCATTAAGTTTAGGGTTGAACATTTCGCGTTTGAGGCGATATATATGTGCGTTGCTATTGTCCGACAACAACGTGCGCTGTGTCTTTTTCTTCCTCAAAGTTTTTTTTGGAATCCGGGTAGTCGTCACGAAACAGTTTCAATAGAGGCCCTAGCTAGCTGTGTCTGTTTTTACAGCCTGTTCTGCTAGTATGACAAATACGACATACGCATATACGCTCTCCTATGACACTATTTGTCATAGGAAGAATCTTCCTATGACAAATACGACATACGCATATACGCTCTCCTATGACACTATTTGTCATAGGAAGCTTCTTCCTGTGACAAATATTGTTGTATGTGTTGTGCGCATCATAGGAGTTTAGGAGCGCTATTATGAACGCAAGCAGTGAATTTCACCTGTAAAGCGGAACGAAATTGACTCGCCAATATTTTTCATAGGAAGAATCTTCCTATAACAAATAGTGTCATAGGAGAGCGTATATGCGTATGTCGTATTTGTCATAAATGCAAGCAGAACATGTTGGTCTTTAATCGCGTGAGTACTATCGCGGAAGGAACTCGCGTACAGTTATTTCTTTATTGTGCCTCTAGATGTGCACGTATATTTCACGCTCTATTTTACCGAATAATAATAAAAGAATTAAGTGCCTAGTGGTGCCAACTCGAGCAGCAAGAGACACGCACAGAATATCGGTGTCAAGAACGCACTGCTACATACCCTGCTCACGCGCGTGTTCTCTCGTCAGGTTTACCACGGATCAATAGACGGAATGTATAGGTACGACAAAACCAGTTCCCCCTCCCTCTCTACCCACCCAGGCGGTCAGTGTAGGTCGTTGTTCGGGGCAGAGTGACGGTCGCTGCGGTTGTTGTTCTTCGGAGTCGTAGGAGCGTATCGAGCAGTCACACCTTGCTCGTAGTCAACGTGGCAGGTTGGGCACATACACACAGCGGCTTGGACATACGCACATCGGATTTCTATCGCAATGTACGTGAGCTGCATCATATGGCTCTCCGTACAGCCGCGCAGCGCACAGAAACGCCAAATTGGAAGGCACGAAGAGAAAGCGAAATCGCGAGAAAGATGAAAAACTAGAAGCGAAGGACAAAAAGACGGTTCATATAGGAAATAAAGACACAGAGCGAGAGGAGCGACGAAACAGACAGACAGAGAGGAATTAAAAGCGACTCAGAACGGGAGAGCGGGAGAACGAGAAATAAAGATAGAAAGAAAGAGCGAGGGAGAGATAGAGAGCGACGGAGAGAGCGAGGGAGAGAGCGGGAGAGAGAGCGCCCGCGCTCGAGCGCTGGCGAGCGAAACTTCGTGTAGTGGCCGTGGGGCAGTTTACACAGCTACCGTGTTAGTCAGGATACCCGCTACAGTTCCACGAACAGAGATGAAGAATCAAATGAAGTATAGCGCCGGCATCATCGCCTGCCTCATGATACTAACCGTTCTACTTGTAACGAATAACTACAAATACCTCGTCGATAATGCTACTCGGCGACCGATCGTTGCCATGGACCGGGAGGTACGACCATTTTTTATTTTTCATCCGATGTAAAATAACTGACCTGTGTATCTGATCGTATTATTCTGTGCTAGACGAGAGGCCCTAAGCGACCACTAACGTCGTGCAGCGAACGGGTAGCAGTCTAGGTTAGCGCGCTACAGTTTCGCAATTCGAATGCGTTCACACGACAAACAATACGCGGCCAGCGTGGTGCCGAATATACGCGGCTTAGTTGGCGCGGAATATGATTCCGCGCTAAGCAAGCCGGAGCAATAGCAGCTAAGCAAGCCGCGTATATTTTAGCGTGTGAACGCTCAATTACGGAACTGAAATCCTCGTGTGAACGTTCACACGAGGAGAAAAGTTGCGTTCACACGCTAAAATATACGCGGCTTGCTAAGCCACGGCTTGCTTAGCCGCGAATGCTCCGGCTGGCTAAGCGCGGAATCATATTCCGCGCCAACTAAGCCGCGTATATTCGGCACCACGCTGGCCGCGTATTGCTCACCTAGACTGGTACCCGTTCGCTGCACGTCGTTAGTGTAGCGTGTGGAACTGTCGACCGGGTACCAGTCTATATTATTCCTGGCTAGCTAAGCCTCGAATCTCGTGTAACTCGTGTGAACGCGTTTTAGCCGAACTTAGCACCAACTAAGTACGGTACCAGCTAGGCCGTGTATACGTGTGAACGCAGCTTAAGTACGGTACCAGCTAGGCCGTGTATACGTGTGAACGCAGCTAATGAATGTCCGCTATAAAAATATAGCATTTAACAATGGAAAGATCGCGGAACATATTTCTTTGGTCTGAATGATAAACGAAGCGTAGCATTCCTCAGTCATATTTCCGCCAGTATATAATTGTAATGAAGATATTACTATGAATAATAGCTACTAGCTATTACCCGTCCTCCAAACGGGTTTGAGTAGGGTCTGATTTGAGGATGGCGGTTTAACCATTTATCTCTCACTTTTAGTTGAGGATGCCCGTATTTACAGTAAACGAAAAATACTGATATTTAGACTCGAGTCATATATCAATATTTGTTTAAAAAAAATTGCATCTAAATATATCTAAAATCTGACATTTTACCTTAAAATGACATACAATTTTTCAAAAAAAAAGGGAAATGGGGTGATTTCATAGTACTATTTCATTTATTCAGATATTATTTTTGAAAATATCATTGTGGTTAGAAGCATCATTAATAAGTCAAATTCTTAAAAAAAAAAGCAAAATGCATTGAGTAGGTTTGAAGATATATTTTCTTGAAAGTTAGTGGACGGCGGCGGGCAGGGTTACACATACACACTACGGGGGGTTTTACACCTCCCGTTGTCAAATATTTGCACACACGCGCGCACACACACACATCACACAAACGCGCTCACGCACGCATACACCGCATTCACACACATACGGGCATGCGCACGCACAATCACACGCCCACCCACGTACACACATACCAATTTACACACACACGGGTGTGCACACACATACAGGCACACGCATACCTACCTACATACGTATGTATGTATGTATGTATGTATGTATGTATGTATGTATGTATGTATGTATATGTATGTGTGTATGTGTGTATGTATGTATGTGTGTATGTGTGTATGTATGCGTGTATGTGTGTATGTGTGTATGTGTGTGTATGTGTGTGTATATGTGTGTATGTGTGTATGTGTGTATGTGTGTATGTATGTGTGTATGTGTGTATATGTATATGTGTATGTGTGTATGTGTGTATGTGTGTATGTGTGTATGTGTGTATGTATGTATGTACACATACACACATACACACGCACACATACACACGTACACATGCACACATACACACATGCATACATGCACACATACATACATGCATACATGCACACATACACAATGCATATATGCACACATGCACACATGTATACACACATACACACATACATGGACACATACACACATACACAAATACACACATACACACATTGTGTGTATGTGTATGTGTGTATGTGTCCATGTATGTGTGTATGTGTATGTATGCGTACATATGTGTGTGTGCGTGTGCGTATATATGTGTGTATGTGCGCATGTATGTATGTGTGTGTGTGTATGTTGTATGTGTGTATGTGTGTATGTGTGTGTGTGTGTGTGTGTGTGTGCGCGCGCGTGCGTGTGCATGATTGTGTCTGCGTGTGCGTGAGTGTATATGTGCGTATGTATGTGCGCGTATGCGCGCGCGGGGGTTTAGTAATAACTGTCATTAAATAATGGTACTGCGTGTGTACGTGCATGTATACGTGGATGCGATCGTAAAATTCCACTGTAGCAATATTATGATTGAATCTGCCTCAATATAAAAAAGTACAAGCTTACCTCATGATATTGTGGTTAGCGCAGTTGTTACAAATAGTGTCCAAGTCTTAAAGCACAGAAACATTGAGTGTTTGTGTGTTAAATACGCACGATGTGGTTTAGCTAGGTTACCGTCGTGTGAACATCTACCGCATGCAACTGTCCTTATTTTTTAGATGGGGCTGGTTAGTGGTGAATCAAGAAATGTGAAAAATGGCCATAAGGTAACATAAGAGGACTAGAAAGCAAACGGCATGCAAAAGAAATAACGAAACATTGTGTTAAATACTCCAGGTTTAACCCAATCACATTCATATAATCTATTTGTTCAAGAACGTAATGCATCATTCCTGTGTCCTATTGCTAATTCTTTCTAGAACGTGTACAGCAGGTCTTATAGTTAGAGCAAATCAGTGATAAATTCGCCGAAGTACATCACATTCTCGCAGTCGACATTTTCTGCAACAGCTGAATGGAAATTTGTGAACAATTTTCTATTAAACAATATTTGTATCAGCATGTACACACATTGTTATAACATTTGTTCCGAACATTGACGGGAGAGAGAGAGCGCGAGATAGAGAGAGAGAAATTATAGAATACATCACCGAGACGATTAACAACACGATTTACAACAACGACGAGACATCCGTTACTGTACCTGGGTTCGACACCAGGTCCTCCCACGCCATCTTCAGCAGCCGTGCCGTTAAGCAGATGCAAGTCCCAGGCCACCGTGCGCAGGAATCGCTCGTTCTCGCGTTGCCACGCCGACGACAGCAGGTTCTCGAAGTCCTGCGATCGCACCTCGACCTGGGAGGAGTCGGCCGACACATACAGCGTGTACACATGCTGGGAGGAAATACGCGTCGTGCTATGATCGCAAATACAATCAACTAACGAGTCAAACTCAACTAGAGAAAAAAAAGACTTAAAGAATTAAACTCGCGTTAATTTACGCGAGCACGTTGCACGAGCAAGGCAATCTCATGTATACATTATGCGTTTACTCATTACATATGAGAAGTATTTAACAAGGGTATAGTGGTGATGATGTCCCCACAGGCTACTACGGATTTACTACTTATATCTATACATACTTCATATATATTCATGCAGACTTCTGCGTCTTCTGTAGGTAATCTCTAGTGGTGATGATGTCCTGTTCTCCACAGGCTACCTATATCTCACCTCACCAAACCTGTACAAAAATATCTCGAGTAAAGATAATGTTTTTGATTCACGCTTAAGCTGTGTACAAACTAGCTCTAGCAAGTAGTCCCGTAGCGGGCATGAAGGAGCGAGCTACAAAGGAAGACTTTACATCTCATGACAACTGCATCTCACGAACTTACTCTCTGTCTCTATCTCTCGCTCTCTGTCTCTCTCTCTGTCTCTCTATGTCGCTATCTCTTGCTCTCTGTCTCTCTCTGTCTCTCTCTCTCCCTCTCTGTCTCTATCTCTTGCTCTCTGTCTCTCTCTCTTTCTCTGTGTCTCTCTCTCTCTCTCTCTCTCTTTCTCTATCTCTCGCTCTCTGTC